CCGGGCTGTGGCCAGGGCGAGCGGACCGTGCTGCGAGCACAGGGACAGGGACGGGCCCTCCCGAGCGCCGTAAAGCGCGGCCGGCCCGGCAGCCAGCGCGCCTGTCACAGCGACCATGACAGCGGGCAGGGCCAGGGAGGTGCTTGGTGCTTTTTGGCTTCTGCTCCAGCTGCCGCCCGGGCCAAGGGCACGGCTCATGGGGACGCGCAGGGAGCCACGGCCCCAGAGGCTTCCTGCACGTGCGGGCTGCCCCAGAGCCAAGGCCCCCGTGTGAAAGCAAGGCCCCTGCGCCCCTGCAGGGTGAGCGCTTCAGCCCCGTCTTTCAGCACAGACGCACAGAGCCCAGGGCTTGCAGGAGGAGCCCTGGTCTGAGCTGGGGACTGTGTGACAGGTTCCCTGTGTGCTTGCATCAACAGCAGCCACCTGCTTTTACGACAGGGGCCATTCAACAGGCACAGCCCAACCAGAGAGATAACACAGGACGTATCACTCCAGCGAGTGCTCCCCACTCAGCCCCGCTCACGTTCCTCCGCTGGGCACAACGTCGGGCTCCGTCCCTGCCAGCCGTTCTGCACAGCCCCCAGAATGCCGGGCCGCAAGCGGTAGATCAGGCCGCACTCAGGGGTATGGGAGCTCCAGGCACCGCCAGGCCTGTGTGCGCTGCGCGGGCGCCGCAGAAAGGGCCTTGGCGCCGACCTGCAGGGAGGTCCCACTCCTCCCTTGCTGCAGCCCGATCTGCTCGCAGCCGCTTGGCCCACATTTGGGGCAGAGTCCACCCTGGGTGCTGCCCTTCTCCAGCATCCTCGGCCCCACGTCGCCAGGCCAGCAGGCCAGCACGCTGTGGGGCAAACAGACTCGCACACACACAGATGATACGTCCCACCTTTATTACATGGCTACAGAGCTGCACAGCGAGGAGCCGCGGCTGCGACGAGGCCCCCCGCACGCGCACCCTGAGGGCACAGGGAGAGGCGGCTTGCCATGCACATGGGACAGCAACGACACAAGCACAACATGCGGCAAGGACTCCTGCCTGCTCCCGCCAGGCCGCCCGTAACTCCCAGGGAAAGGGCCACGCTTCCCTGCTTGCCCCAGCACGGAGCCAGCCTTTGCCACCAGCTGCGACTATGCCAGGGAGCCCAGCACAAGCTCCACACCCCAGGGCCGCCGCGATGGCACCCACGCGCCTGCTCTCAGTACAGAGTGCAGCCGGGCGGTGCTTCTCAGAAACGCAGCTGGGACGCGTGTGTTCAAGGTCAGCCGCTGCTGGGCAGGTGCCACAGGCTCAGCGCTCTGCCCCGGGGCAGGGAAAGCCTGGCGTTAGTGCCCACGCTGGTGTTTAACAGGCCCAGAACCAGCACAGCTTTGGTCTGTCCCTACCCCTTGTGACAAGGAACCCATCACCCGCAGCACCCCCTGCCCGCCCCGGGGAAGGATGTCAAAGGACAGGCAAGGTCATGGATACTGGCTCCTGCTCCTGTGGCCACAGCTGCTCTGACAGGAGGTTAAGAGCAAACGCAGGTTGGGCCTGTGAGCACCAGGGCCGGCCCTCCTTGCTGCCGCGGCACGGGCCTGCAGGCAGGAACGGCCCTCAGGCCGCGCAGCCCTTGCCGTAGCAGGAGGCCCTGCTCCCCCCGCAGTTGCCCGTTACCGGGGGTACCCGAGGCGCCACCCTGCAGAGCCGCTGCTGCATCGCAGGACGGCTGGGGCTGGGAGGGACCCCGGGAGATCATCCAATCCCACCTCCCTGCTCCAAGCAGGGTCACCTACAGCAGCCTGCCCAGAGCCCTGCCCAGCTGGCTTTCAGCTGTCTCCAAGGATGGAAACTCCACCACCTCTGGGCAACCTGTTCCCATGCTCAGTCAATCTCACAGTAAAAACGTTATTCCTTACATTCACATGGAGCTTGCTGGGTTTCGGTTTGTGCCCACTGCCTCTTGTCCTGGCACTATGGGAAATAGTGGCACTAGGTGGCAATAGTAATAAGGAATGAAATGACACTGCAGAAACTCAACTCTGGTAAAACCACAGAAACCTCAACCAGGGCCTTAGACCACTGGTGCTGGGGCAGAACAACAAGGGAGCTCTGTAAAAGACCAGTGCCAGATCGTGCAGTGTGGACCCTGCTCAGGGAGCCGGCCTGACACGGGACCTGTGCCGGGTGGGAAGGGGTTGTCCACACCGGGCATCAAGAGGGCAGAACTTGTAAGTCAGCAGTGCTCGTACAAACCCAAAGTGCATGTAGCATGATACACAGGGCCTGGTCACAGCAAATTAGGTGGAGACTGCACTTTAAGAGGAATAAAATACGTATTACTTGAGAGCCTGCTGCACCTGCAGTCCTTGCTCTTTTATGGTCTCCCTTGGCGAGCGAGCACCCGAGGGAGCCCTGGGCAGGCGCCAGGCACCTCCGCGCTCCGGCGTCCATCCCAGCGCGGAGCAGCTGGCTCGGCTGCGTGTGCCCAGCCCAGGCTCAAAGGGCACAGGGCAACAACCCCGGCAGGGCGGCCCTGGGCCCCGGCTAGCAGGAGAGGAGGGCCTGCTGTTTGCAGAGGGCATGGGGAAAGCAGGCAGTCTCTGGCAGGGAGAGAGGAGAAAAGCAGGGCAAAAGCAATGCTTGGCAGGGGTTAGAGAGATGCACATGCTGGCAGGCTGCCACAGGAAGAGGGGCAAGGAAGGTCCTGTCCAAAGTTACGCTGCAACGCAGGATCCCTGCTCTTCCCTCTTCCATGGGGCTGGGCTAGGCTTTGCCCCTTCCCTCAGGGTGCAGGGCACCTCCTCTTGCCCCTCTGAGTCATAAAGCACCTGCCTGGGACATGGGCTCTGCAGCAGCCACAGCAATGTTGCAAGCAAAGGGATTCTCGAGGGAGCAAAGGAAGGAGCTGAGTGCCCCTGGGTGAGACACAGGACACGCTGAAGTCTTTGTTTGGGCAGGAGGAAAGCCCCAATACCACAGAAATGCCCCCATCAGGAAGACAGATCCAATGTATCAGACAGGTCAGGCATAGGGAAGAGACTTTTATAACAGCTGGGGGAAGGGATTCAGTTCGACACACAGAGCACAAATCCTTCAGGGTGGGCTCCGCCTGGGCTGCACAAGCCCCCAGGAAAAGCCAGGCTGGACCACTCCACGTCCTCTTTGGCATTGCACATGTGCTCTGCTAGCAGCCCACGTCCCATAGGCACCAGCCAGGGGGCAAGGAGCCCTAGCTCAGAGATACAGCACAGAAACTGCCACACAGGAGAGATCTCAGGGACAAAAGCCTCCCATCTCTGCAGCCCCTTCCTGGCGTGCAAGGAACAGGGCAGCTGTCACGGGAGCTGGGGACGAGCTGCAGCATCCCCAGCTCCCAGCAAGAGCAAGGCCTGCCAGCTCTGCCACCCCACTCCCACTTGCAGCAGTGGGTCCCGTTTCCCGGCAGGGAGCTGGGCCAGCGCGTGTGTGCATGGAGCGGGGGGACTGCCCCACTGCCAACTTGCTCCAGACTGAGGGGTGCAAAGTTGGTCCTCCTTGGAGGGGCAGCGCAGTGCTGGGCACCTCCCCAAGGCTACTGGCAGGGCAGTCACGGTGCCAGCCCTGCCACAGGCAAGTGAGCTCCCCTTGCCACCTCTTGACACACGTGGCCATCCCCAGGGCACGCCAGCTCCCTGCCTCCCCTCTGGAGGCAGGTCCCAGCTCCGGGTGGATGTCTGGAGCTGCTGCCTTCTCATGCGCCTTTGCCCGGCAGCTGCTGCCTCCGAGCCAGTCCACAGCTGCCCAGCGCCGTTGCGTCGGCGTGCGCAGGCTCCGCGGCGATCCTCCGACACGGACGACACAGATGTGAACACAGACACACGCATGTACTCACACACGCATTCACCCCACAAGAGTCAGAGTGGCGTTGACTTGACAAACGGCTGGACACAAAGCGCAACCGCAAAGCCGCTGGTCTGGCAGTTTTGTCTCTTCGGCAATTGATGGCAACAAAACGAAGCCCAGGATCACCCTGTCCCCTTGGGACGGGAGAAGAATCAGGCTGACACCACATCCTGCTGCCCAGACGGCTCCCAGTCTGCAACCCCCACGAGATCCCCAGTCTACAAGGCTACACCTGCAAGATAGAGAGGGGATGTGGCACCTCCTGGGACCAGCTACCAACGCCCCAGCTGGCCAGCCAGAGCTCAGGCGGCCCCTCTGGGCCACAGCTTTTGCCCCTACCTTGTGGATCTGTGGTGGAAGCTCATCTTCTGAGCTCTCCTCCGGCACGGGCTCTGGATGCCTCGCTGGCTGCCCGTCTTCAGCCCAGCCTCCGAGCGGGAGGCGGGAGAAGTGTGACGGGGCTCTGTGCACTGTGCCAGGGTCTGCAGGATGGGGGAGCAGGAAGATCAGCTACACAGGGGATGCCAGGCTTCAGCAGCAGGAGGGCTGCCCATGCCCCAGGGCTCTGAGCCCAAGCTCAGGCCTGCACCCTGGCTCCCGTACCTGTGATGCCACCGTATCGCCGCTGGAAGCCGGTGTGCAGGGTGGCCATCTCCTCGGCAGGCTGCCGCGGCGAGGAGAAGGGGTAGCTGGCAGAGCGAGGGAGGGGGACAGAGGCTCCTCGCTGAACTTCCAACTCCTCATGGGCGCTCTCCCCGCTCTCATCACTCTCTCGCCGGTGCCAAGTGTGCCGCTCGGGCTCCAGCTGCGTTTGCTGCTTGTGCAACTGCAGACCAAGACAGGAGCCGTGTTGGGAGAGCCCAGACTCCCCAAAGCACCTTCTCTCTGGCAGTGCACATACACTGCACTCAGTCTCCCTTCCCCAGCCACCCCAGCCCCGTCCTGGCTGCCCTGAGGAGCCGGCTCCTGGCCGCTCACCTCGTGCATGTAGAGTGCGTGCAGACTCATCTCAGTGGACGCGTACTCCGACAGGATCATGCTCTGCAGCTGACCCTCCCAGGCGCTGCTCCCCGAGCTCACAGTCCTTGCATCAGCACTGCCATGGGACACACGGGAGATGTTTACTGCCTGGGTCGCCCCCTGCACCCGGCCCAGCTGCTCTCTGCTCTCACGTCAAGCTTGCAGACACCCACTCCTGCAATGCAGAGGGACAGGCCCTCTCTGTCCTCCCTCCAGCCACACAAGATGATCAGCCCAGCATGGCACTGTCCCATCCCAACACACTGTGTCCCTGTGCCAGGGCACAGAGCTCACCAGCCCCTCATCTCCAGAGCAGGTGGCATTCCAGACCAGAGCAGGCCCTACTTGGATATGTCCCTCACCCCTGGGAAGGGATGCTCAGAGCAGTCTCTTCCCTGCCAGGAAGGTACCGTGTTACCTTCAGAAGGCCAGAGCTCCATGCGGCCCCTTGGGGCCAGCATAAACACCTGGGCCTAGCTCGGCTTGTGAACACGTCCCTTCCTGTCACAGAGACAAATGCCACAGTCACGGCAGCAGGGCAGCCAGCAGAAGAATTTGGGACTTGCAAGCTCTCCAGCTGCTCCCCTCCAGGCTGCAGCTGGCAGCCAAGACTGCCATGTCCTTACCCAGAGACTGTCATGGCACTCGCACCCCGAGGCTGGGTTCCCTCTCCATCTCGTCCCCCTGTCTGGAAGCCGCTGGGGGGCTGCTGGGCAGACTGGAGCGGGGAGAAGGAACGCAGGGCCGAGGCCACTTCAGAGAGGTGGCGGGAGGCCTGTCCATCGCGGCCCACGTGAAAGCCCAGAGCTGAGGAGCCTGCTATCACGTTGGCAATCAGGCTGTGAGGCTGCAGAGTTGGAAAGGAGAGAGTCACTGTCCTGTGCAGACTTGCAGTACATACCAGCAATGCCTCCACACCAGCTGTGCAGAGCGGAGCCACCCCAGCTTCCCACTGCCCTTCTCCGGATACCTTGCTAGAATCCCAGAGAGCAGTCCCACCTCCTGCTATCTATCATATTCTCATCCCTGGAAACAGCCCAGGCAAGGAGATAACTTTCCCAGAGGCCGGGTTATCCCAGAGCTTGTTAGCACCCAGTGAGGCCCATAACAACAGCCCGTTTCCCCTGTGGCACAGGTACCTCTGACTCTGACTGCAGGGACTGGATGGAGCTGAAGAGGGCGTTTTCGGGGAGCACGGCCTGCTGGGCCAGGGCCACGCTGCTGTCCCGGTGCACGCGCTCCTTCAGGAAGCCGATGAAGGCCGTGCTCTCGCGGGGCGGCTGCCACTTGGGGTTGGTGATGGCAAAGTGCATGAGGGACAGCTCCGTCTTGCCGTCTTCCGCCTGCTGGTAGATGGAAGCCTCCGTCTTTCCTGCGGACATCCACTGCGGAACAGGGAGAGCTAGTGAGGGCCAGCATCTGCTTCAAGCCCCTGCCAGGCCTGCAAATCCTGCAGGACCAGTCTGGGCGAAACCCACAACGCCCAGCACAAGCTGGGCCACAGCTCCACACAGAAAGTGGGCTCTAGAGTAAATCCCCTTGTCCTAGTTCAGCCCTGACAGCCCAGGACAGTAGCAGCTGTAATGGGGGCTATCAAAAAAACAGAATGGGAAGTTTTGTCTTGCACTCTTCAGCCCACAGCAGACACAACTACAGCCAACTAATAATTGTTCTTAAAATCTTCCTGCCACAGCGAGCCCACCCCTTCCTGGTTCACAGCCCTGTCACTAGGCCCTTCTGGATGACTCAGGCAAATTCCCAGGCACAGGAAACACATCGATCCTCTTTCACTTTGCAGTAGTTTTCATGGAAAACACACTCCCACCTCCTGCATACTGCCTCTCTCCTGGCTAAAAGCAGCCCAGCTTTTCTAATCTGTTCTCAGTAGTCACACATTTTAGGATGTCCAGATACATTCACTCCTCTCTTCTGAGGGAGCCTGTGAAGACAGGCAAGGATGTTAAATAGTGAGAAATGACAGAGCCCAGTGTATAACACACAAATCAAGTTAACAGTCACAGCCTGGTGACCCGTGCTGGCAGACCTGGAGACTTAGCACTGAGGCGGCCACAGGTTTTGGCTGCAGGCTCTCAGGAGCAGCACAGCCTCTCCCAGGTGCAACAGGCCAGGCGTGCTGTGTGGAGCCCACAGCAACACCCCGATGCGCGCGGGACCTACCGCTGGGTGGCCGTGCTGGCGCACGTCCATCTGGGCAAAGGAGCAGGTGTCACCCACACCCACCACCTCCACGGTGAAGTTGCGAAAGAAGTCCACAATGTCCAAGGACTTGGGTCGGAGGCAGACGATAAGGATGAGGGGAGTAATGATGGGACTCAGGAGTTCCTCCAGGATGAAGACCTGGGCATGGAAATGGGGGTTTAGAGTGAGCTTGAAGATGCCAGAAACTTCCCCAATAAGCTTGCCCCAAAGCAAAGCTCAAGCCCCCTTCAACCCTACATCCCATCCTGCTCTCAAGACTGTACCCCTGCTGCCTCCCCCCCAAACCCACAATCCTGGAGCCAGCCCTCAGCTCTGCCCCATTGCCCCAGGAAGATTATCTCCAGGAAAGCGCTCTCTCTCTGCTCGGTAGCTGCCTGGCTCTCTGGCAGCTTCTCCCTCCTGTGGGGAGGAAAGTCAGTTTCTATGTCAGTGCCTTGTGAGCCAGGCTCACCGCTTTGTACTGGAAGAGCTGGGCAAACTCGTCCCGGGTCTCGTAGCGGTGGGCATTGCCCTGCCAGTGGTCAGGCATGTAGTGGATGTGCGCCAGGATGACCCGCAGCAGCTGCTCTGGGCAAAACACCAGGTGCTGGTCAGGAATGAAGGATCTGCAGGGCAGGACAGCAAAATGTCACAACATCGCACTTCAGTTTAAGGGAGATCTCACCCTGGGAGGGCAGGGCGAACAGCCCACGTCCGCACCTCCACCTTCACTTCCAACCCAGCCCCCCTGCTAGCACAGCCCAGGCTCCCTCCATATAATAGCTCCAGCAAACCCTCCTACTATTCCTGAAGTCACCACTGCAGTCACTGCGCCAAGCTGACTAGTACCCCCTTCTCCTGCCTGCCCCATTCTGCCCCTCCTCAGCCGTGCTCTTGCCCTAGAGCAGACTCATGTCCACTTGCAGCCTAAGAGCACATGCACACAGAGGGTGTCAGCCTCGCTGCTCCCAAAACGTTGCTGGGAGCAGCTGGCTCTGCCCAGCACAGGTCCCCCTCACCTGCACACCGTGATGCCCACCCCGAGCAGGGTGACTGTAGTCAGTACGTGCTCCACTGCCAGCACATCCTCATCGTAGATGGTGAGAGCAATGAGCACAGCCAGGATGGAGCCAGCAAAGAAGGCCACGTTTTTGGCCACGATAGTGAGGAGCGGTGAGATAAAGCAGTTCATGTACTTGGAAGCCGGCTTGTAGCCCTTGCTGAGGCGTGAGTGCAGCTCATGGTCCAGCTCATTGAAGTGGCGGAGGTAACAGCGACCGTAGAGAGACCAGCAGCGGGCACCCAGGCTGCCCGGCTCCCGCTTCAGGATCTCAGTGTAGCTGAAGAAAGCGTAGAGGATCTGCCAGATGAGGATGAGAGGACAGAGGAGGAAGTTGGCAATGCCAATCCAAAGGATGCGAGTGCTGAGCTTCTCAGCTAGCTCCAGGCGGTTCCCAGCTCGCTTGTATTCAGACTTCAGGCTCCACTCATTCTCGAAGAGGGAACCTGGCCCCCAGAAAAAGATGAGCTCGAAGTTGTACTTGAGCCCACGGGTGTAGAAGACAGTGTCTCCCAGCAAGGGCAGGCGGAAGCGGATGGGCAGCAGAGACTTGTTCACCATGGCCACCATGTAGTTCTTGAAGCGGAGGATGCGGTGGTAGATGTCCAGCTCCGTCAGCTCTTTCTTGTGGATGCAGATCTGATGCTCCTTCTGGATCTGCACGATGCGGGCCTGCACCTCCTGCCACGTGTAGTAGGGTAGGTTGGCCTTGGAGGGGGAAGCACCAAGGTTAGATCCGGGCCATGTGCAGGGACAGTGTCAGGCTGGGCCCTGCACTGACAGCGGGTCCCAGCACCCCCGCTTGGGTACCAGGGAAGCACACGCAGCACGAGGCACCTTTCCCATTGCCTCAGCTTGCGGCTGGCAAATCCCGTGTCTTGCCCCAGTGCCCTTTAGACTGGACTAGTGTAGATGACCGTTACCCACCCTCTCACACACAGGCTATCCGGAGGCACAAGCGCAGCCCCAGGCTCCCATGAGCTCTCCTTCCCCCCAGAATCCATGGAAAAACACGCCCAATGCTTGGAGACAGAGGGGAGATAGGGAGAGGGGAAGGAACTTGACCATTGTCCCAGAGGCAGCCTGTGGCAAAGCTGGGGACAAACCAAATCTCTTGGCTCGGTCCGTCTTTCTCCAACACTCAGAGCTGCTCCTAAGAGGAGGCACACGCACCCCCTGATGTTATCAGACAAAGAAGAAGATCCTGCACCTGGTTGCAGGTGTAAGCCTCAAACCCCATCTCTGACACAGATCTCCAGCATGCTCTTCACCAACTAAGTAGCTCTATGATTCTGTTTCCTCATCAGTAAAGCAGCAAGACGATTCTGCTCTCCTCCCAGGAGGTAAGAGAACACCCTTGCTCATACCTCGTTTGTGCCTTTGCTGTTGAAAGGCATCGCAGAAAAGGCCAACACAGACAAAAATAAACATATTGGGTGGCAGATGGCAGAGGCACATGCCAGCACACACAGTGACAGGCTGAGCAGAGAGGGTTAACATGCAACAAATTGGCTGCTGGAAACACTGAAAGAAGATCAACATGGTTACGTAACCCTGGGAAAAGCTGGAGCAGAAGGAAGAGCGCTTGGCACAAAACTGTTGGAGAAGTTGGCTCCCAAGGGGAGGCAGAAGTGAGTGGCTTCTCCCTGCCCAGTAAGGACTCCTGCTTTCCTCAACAGCTCTGCAGCTACTTACCATGGGGATTTTGAGGGCATTGATATAGAAGGAGTGAATTTCCCAATAGCAGCAAATGTTGTAGATAAATTTGATGAGTCGGTGGATCCAGAAAACTCCGGCTACCACCAGGATGCAGATGAGGAAGCTGTTTGCCTGGATTCTGCCGGCAAGAAGAGGCAGATAGCAAGAGTCAAGTCTCTACTATGTAAGCATCTAGGGATAGTCCTTAGTATCTGAGAAAGCAACGGCAGTGGCTAACGTGCCCTGAGCTGCTTCTACCTTGCACTGCAGATGTTTGGAGGCAGGAAGGCATCTGGCAGCGTCACCTTAACGGGCTCGCTCGGATGCTGGCTGTGATTTACTGCTTTGTTGGCAAAAAGAATGTCATAATCGACACAGCTGATGAGAAAGGTGGTGAAAGCCACTACGAAGATGAACTGCCTGCAAAGAGAGGGAGTAGCCATGAGGGAATGACCGTGCCAGCCTCCCACCCAGACACCCGGCAGCCAGGAGCTGCAGGTCAGGCAGCCCCACGGCCTCGCGGCACCACCTCCTCCAAGAGGGCCACGGATACACAGGAAGGGCACCCTCCTGCCGGGAACAGGCTCGGCACATCCCGCAGCCCCTGCCCAGCTTTCCCGTGGCAGCCTCAGCAGCCCCCGCGAGAGGGGAGCCGGCACTTACATGAGCTCAAAGATCTCCCCGATGAGCATGCAGGTGAAGCCGTTCTTCTGGTGCAGGTTATAGACGTGAGCGCTACAGTCAAGGAGGACACTGTGCACTGCCTTTCCCCCCGAGGAGCGCGGGGACCCCTCCCGTGCCCCGGGCACGCACGGCCCCCCGCCCCGGAACGGTGACCAGAGTCCCCCACGCCCGCCGGGGAGAA